AATCACCTAAGGTGGAGTTAGGTCAAAGTTAGGCATACTAAAACCTCTGACTAAAAACTGTATGCTAAAAACTAAGCTGTCTCTGCTTAGCTGTCACCTAAAAAATGAATTCCCCAAATGCCTTCGCCTGTGTGGCTTTGAAATTCCCCAGATATTCAAATTTGTATCCCAGGAATACCAGGGCAGGGCTGAGCACCTAGGCATATATCTCCCACATAAACTCGTGCGGGATCCAGAAACCGCAAAGTTCCCTGAGGGACGTGATACAAAGAGCTTTCTGGGAGCGCTTCATTCGTTAGTCTACTAATGAAGATGATCTCCACCACTTCTGCAGAAACTAAAAGCCCACAAGAAACGAATTCAAGAGAGAGTCCAAATACCATGTTCACAGCCTAGTAGTGAAGGTGACAAGTGGTCCCTGCTTTAGAGAATGTGTCCGTATTTTGCAAGCGAGTGAAAATGAGTGTTAGTCTCCAAGTAAATCATATTAAGTAGTAGACAGAGTAGAAAGGAAAAGCGGCACTACACCCCAATTCTCCTAAGACACGTTGAAAAACGTGCTCTGAGAACGTAGCCAGGTGATTGAATGTCCCTCAGCTACAACTCTGTCTCCAAAGGGGAGGTAATCTTTACCCCGTAGCTCACGCTGCAAGGCTGACTGCCTCCCAACGAGGACCTGCACAAAGCCTGCTAAGACAGGGCACAGCACTCGGTCAGAGCTGGCAGGCATACCACCGGCAAAGCCGTCCGGCTTCACGGGATAGGTGTGAAGCGCCTGTGGTCCAGGATACCGTATCAGCGGCCTGCCTGTTGGATTGCGTGTAATGTTCTACAATGAAAGGAGGTCATCACAGGATACCTTTCTGAACGCAGACAAGTTTAGTACAAATACAACATCTTGTAATGAGAAGCATCAGAAAAACTTAATACTAATAAAGCCGTGGCACAAGAGCTGGGTAAATGATGCAAAGCCTTCATCGCTGGCCTTCAGAGATAATAAAAAGATACCCCAGCACACCTTGCCACTGAGACCACAGGGCATGAATACCATTGCATTACACAAACCCAGCTATCAGCAATTCCCTTTCTAGACTCTCTGCAAGACTGGCATCTTTCCTCACCAGGTTCCCTATAACTTTTCCTTTTAGAGGGATTTTTCACCTTCTTAAAGGGACCTATTAATGTTAATTGGATCAATAAAAGCCAATTACTCTGCTCTCTCTTGAAGCACATCTTCCTTCTCCCTCGTGAGCTGGATAAGACACTTGGGGTGGTAGGCTTGGGGTACTCGTTTCATCAGGAAGATGGAGGTAGTAAGTGCTCCCTTTGTGTATATGGGATTGAGGTTCAGTTATTTGTGCTCACAACTGGGTCTGAAGTTGCTTTGGGGTTTTTCCTGGTGTACCTAAGTTAGTTTTAATTTCTCTCTTTAAATATTGGGGGGGGGAGTTCAGGTTGTGCTTGTTAGAGAGGCTTGTTAGCTAGCGTAAGATGATCTGAGGCTAGTTTCACATACTCTACGTGACGCGTCCCTAACCTGATCTGTCTGGTAAATATGCACCCTTGCGTTAGCTTAACCTTCAGTGTTAGGCTGCCTCGCCTGCATAATCCTAGCCATAAGGAGCCCCGAGTGGCTGAAAGCGTGCAGCTGAAGCAAGCCGTCAGGGAAGCTCACGTGGGAAGCGGGGAACGTCTGTGGCAGGGACTATCTCCATCTGGTAGGAGGCCTTTTTTTTCTGCTTCCTAGCACTTCTGTGGACAGAAATCAGGGAGAAAAACCAATTTTTCTCCTCCTACAACTCAAATGCCGTTCCCAGAGGGTCTTATGGCCTGCAACTTGGCTTTTCTTCCCTGTAAGGAAAAGGGCAAATGGATCCTTGCTGTAGGCACTTTGGACAGAAATAATTTTTAAAATAGCAAGTTGAACGAAATCTTGACTTCTGCAGGCTTCTGTAAAATCTTGAGGTTTGTTTTTAAACTTCAAAAAAACCCAGACCCTCTTATCTTCTTGCTTGCTGAAGGAGAGCATAAACAACTAATGCTTCAAATAGACAGAGGCACCAGACAGTTACATAAAAACAACCCGCCAGATTCCTGCATGTAGGAGTGTCTGCTCTCAATTCAGTCCTGCCTCTCTGTGCGTGTGCCTGGTAGTAGGTCTCCCTTCCCTGAAGCAGGAGCAGCTAGCACAAAATGCCCGAACTGAAACTCGGGCGCTGAAGGCATTGACCCCCTGGCCTTAGGCTGTCTGGAGGCTTGAGCAAAGGGTCCTTTGTAACCAGGGGACCAAGTATTTGGGGTCAGCCGTAGGAGCAGAAGAGCCACAAAGTTTTAAACCTTTACTATTTCAGTAAACAGCTGAAAAAAAACTTGAAGAGGAGCTCTAGGGATCGGCATGTACCCTCCTGTCTTAGAGCTCTGAGTATTTTGGTTGTTGTAGACCTGAAGAAAGGGGAAAAGTTATGGCAAGGAGACTATCCTCACGACAACTTTATGCTCAGCTTTTTCTGCCATTAAACATCTGTCTGTAAGAGTCTCTTCACGCTTGGGACCCTTTGATATCATGGTAAAGGAAATACATACATTAACGCCTACTAAAGTGGTGGTTTTGTGATCGGTGAAGCGCATGACAGATCGAGCTAGTCTTCCCTCCAAAGAGCTATTCAGCCATTGAAGGGCCAAGGTTTCTCCCTGAGTTTGTTGCATGCTCACAGATGACTCGGGTGTCTCTCAGATAACCAAGATCTATGGTGTTCTGGAATAGCACAATGAGTTGTTACTTTTCTGGAGTTGAAAGAGGTAGATTAACTGAGAACATCTCCAGCTGAGCTCTTAAGTTAAATGGCTAGCCTGCTTTTTTTTCTGAAGTAGAAATAACAACGCTGTACTGAAAATGGCACCTAAAAAAAAAAAGCGGGGGGGGGGGCTAAGGCTTCATTTCAGGGAAATACAGGCAGGGATTTGAAGTGCCCAAGCTGAGGACATCTGCACTGCACTAACTAAACATTACACTCAGAATCAAATTCATGATGAACAGTTTTTAACCATAGTTTGTGAAACATCCAGTGAGAGAAATGTGTCTGAGGCAGGGTTGCCCTTGGTAATGATGTCTCTCTTGCATAAGACGGAGGTAAAAATAAAAAACAGTGCACGTGTGTGGAGTTGTCGGCTGTGCTGGCACTTCCCCGCCCCCAGCATCATGAAGAGTAGATGCGGCTTCACCCTCGTTCAAATGGCACTGGGCGGCCTCGTGTCCTCGCTAACGCAGCGTAATAGCTCCTCATCCCAAGCCCAGGACGTCATCTCCTTCAGGCTGCCTCTGAGGCGCTTTGTGCGCTAAGGCAATTAACGTTACCGGAGAAGGCTTCAGCCGGCAGGGCGGGGGATCTACAGCAACTCGAGTAAAAGGCGAGGCAGAGCTAGGCTCGGTACAGGAATGGGGCCTGGCAATAAATAACCCTTAATAGACGAGTCGGGGCGCTCGACGGTTTCTGGCAACCACCGCTCCCGCTGGTGACCCCACCGAGCGCCGACACCCCGCCCCCCGCCCGCCCGGCTGCGGCCGCCGCGCTTTCCCGGCACCAAAAAC